GGGGGAGCCCATGGCCCAAGGGGGGGACTGGAGGACTCACAGCCCAAGTAGGGAACCCTGAGCAAGGTGGCTCTGTAGTGACCCTTGGGCTGGGAAGCATCTTGGGGAGAGGTGCCTCTGCCACTCGGGGCACGGTGGCCCTGGCCGCAGGCGGCACCTCCGGGTAGGAAGGGACAGGGTACAGGCTCTGCCGGAACTAATATGGAGGCCTTGAGGGAGCTCTGCTCTGCACTGACATCAGCTGGGGGAGACCCCGATGTGGGTCTGGGCAGGTTCCCCTCATCTTGTCTGGATGCTCAGGAAGGTGACGGCCTTGGTCTGAGGGTGTGGCTTTGCGTCATCAAAAGAAGGGTCCCAGGTGTGGCCAGGGTTGGAAACGCGGTGAGTACAAGGGTACAGGCTCCCTGAGAAGAGCAGAGACCCCCACAGTGTCTGCTCAGGGTGTGGGCTTCACCTGTCCTCATTCTCAGGAGGATTGGCGGGGGATTGGAAGCGAGGTGCTCTCTCTTCTGCCAGATTCCCTTTGAGCCAGATCTTTGGGGTGGCCACACCAACCGGGGCCATCCAGTCCTCCCCAGAGATAAAGATGGAGATCCTGAGGGGACTGGGGGAACCCCCCACCGCAGAACTGATAGGGTTCAGGCCCTGCCGTGGGTCTTGTGATAACCAGGGCTGGGGAAGAAATGGGGTTCCTGCTCTCTGGGAGGTGAGGTGCTTATTCCGGGAGGTCTTCCCATCAGTAAGCGCGCTGTGTCTGGTGAGCAGGGAGAGGAGTCCTGGGATCTGCAGACCCTGCGGAGGACATTTGTGAAAACTGAGTGTGCCCCATCTCTGAAATTATGGAACACACAAGGTCTAGCTGTGCCTGCCACAGCACAGAAGACCTAGTCAGCAGTGACTGAAGTGCGAAGTGCAGGCTAACAGGACCATGGGTGGAAGGGAGTGTGAGATCTTGCTGGGGGCGGGCCATCAACTCATCCCAGCTGGGGCCGGGAGGCAGGGCAGGCCCAGTGGGATTCAATATGTCTAACCGACTGCAGGACAGAGTGTACTGCACCCCAGAACTGAGGGGCCGCCCTATTGACAGTCTTTTCAGATCATGGGATGCGGCGCCTCCTCGTGTTTCTCTCAGAGTCTCAGGGAAGAAAGAACTTTGTCTGAGAGGACACCGCCAGATCATCGCGACAGCGACATTTGCTCAACAGAGAGCGTAGTCTCGGGTCCAGAAGTCTTGTGTCCCCCCAAGACTCCAGGTGAGGACCCTGGGAATCTCAATGCCCAGAACAAAGAGGCTCAGGAAGCCTGGGCTGCCCTTCCTGTCAGCCCTGGAGACCCAGGGCAGGGCTGTCAGGTTGGGCGCTACCCCACTGCCAGCTCTGAGGTCAAGAGAAAAGAGCCTTGGTCTGCGGGTCTGGACACCAGTCAGCTGACGGATCCCAGGCCCTGGCAGGGCTCCAGGTGAAGCCCCATCACTCCCCCATGCAGGACCCCAGATACCCAGGGCAGGTGTGGCCAGATGTGGGGCCCTCGTTGCTACTGTTCCAGCTCAGGAGTTTGGTCCTGTTCTGAGGGTTTACCTCAAGCCCTCAGAGGGGTGACAGGGGAAAGGTGAGCACAGACAAAAACTGTGGCCCCAGAACAGGGGACACCACAGTTCCTGACCTCACCCCACAGTCAGCCCTGAACATGAGGCCTGGGACACCCATGCTCTGAACAACCACCTCATTTCTTCCTTCAGGTTCTTTGGGGGCCCCACCCAAATGGACAGATTCTGCAAGACCCAAGGGTACCTCTAAACAGGAGCATGTAAGTCACCTGTGTCAGGGAGACCAGGGGTGCTTTTCTCAGCAGTGGCCACTCACATTTCTTCTTTCCATCAGTTCAGCGGGTCCCATCTGCACCCTTCTGCTCAAGCACCTGCCAGCTGTCCAACCAGTGACCTTACGCCTCTGCGTTACAAGAGTGAGCTTGGCAAGCCTGAGGGAGACCATCGGGAGCCAAGAGTGGGCCCCAGCCTGCAGAGTGAGCCTCTCCTGCAGCTCCAGGCTGCTGATGGCCAAGACGTCACGTCACTTTCGTCCTTTCCCTCCACCTCCTTGAGGTTCTCTTTGGTGCTCCAGGACACCATAGAGGATGAGGCTGCTGCTGGTGCCCTAAGTGCTCCCCAAAGCCCTGCCACTTCCGGCCCCATCCCCAGGGTTGTGGTAGCTTCTCTGTGCAGCTCATCCGAGGAGGAGTCGGGCAACTTGCCGGTGCCAGCAGAAGGCCAGGCCCCGCCCCAGGCATCGCCCCCCGAGATGTCTAACCTGGTGTGCTTCCTGCTGCTCAAATATTGCAGGAAGGAAACAACCAGCAAGGCTGAGATGCTGAGGGAAGTCCTGGGCAATGACCAGAAGCACTTCCCCAGCGTCTTCAGCGAAGCCTGTAAGTGCATGCAGCTGGTCTTTGGCATAGATGTGACCGAAGCAGAGCCCGGTGGTGATACCTATGGCCTGACCACCACCCTGGGGCTCACCTACGACGGGCTGACCAGCCCTGAGCAGACCATGCCCAAGACGGGTCTGCTGGTCATCGTCCTGGGCGTGATCCTCCTGGGTGGCGACTGCGCCTCCGAGGCGCACATGTGGGAAGCTCTGAGTATGATGGGGCTGTATGTGGGGAGCAAGCACGTCATCTTTGGGGAGCCCAGAGAGCTCCTCACCGAAGTATGGGTGCAGGAGCAGTACCTGGAGTACCGGCAGGTGCCCAATAGTGATCCCGCCCAGTTTGAGTTCCTGTGGGGCGCCCGGGCTCACGCCGAGACCAACAAGATGGAAGTCCTGGCGCGATTCCTCAAGATCAATAGCTTAAATTCCAATTCCTTCCTTCCCGTGCCTCAAGAGGCTAGGGAAAAGGAGCAGGAGGAGGCCTGAGCCCTG